GTAACTGTAATGTAGGCAGTACATTTACACAGCAATTAATCATCTATGGACTGCAGTAGAAGGCGATTGTGCAACTTTATAATGATTTAAAACTTTTTGTTCAGATACTTTAAGTTCAATTCTTCGGAACAATCATTAATAATAAACATAATTTGATTTTGTCTTTACACGAGTTTATGTATTGATTTCGAAATAACTAGTACTCTGTATATAAAGTTGTGTTATAATAATTGTTGTTGATCTTGCATATCAAATCAGCCGATGTTTAACGACTGACTACTCTGCAAGGTTGATCCAGTTTTTTAGCAATAGTTTTTAGAATGATAGCCGACTGGGAAATTCTATGAGTAATTTGTTATTGCGTTTCATGAAATTACAAATCTCTAGATGAGGCGTTAACCGATTTTCCATCGAACTACATTTGATACAATTAAAAAGTACGCCCAAGCGAATGTTTTCCGGTTTTAGACCAAGTAATAGTTATATATAAAATACAAATAACCGATTCAAATTAATAATAACAATTTGGGACCGGACTTCATTGCATCCGTGCGAGTCTACAGAAATTAAAATTAATAAACACTGAAATGGATACCGAAATTGTGTTTTTGTAAACGAGGCAATTTCTATTGACTAAAAAATGTACGTAATCACAACTACGTCAATCCGTTTTTAATCGTTTTATAAACTCAAGGAGCTTGATTTGTTACGACAATCATCGTCTACATTGTGGCCCATAATAATAATGTAAATTAATAAAGCTATAACGGAGGAAAGTTATAAATTTTGATTGTGCGTGAGCACTCTCTGGACGTTTACGGTTTTAATGGCGTCTATCGCGTAGTCGTTATACTTAGAGATTAAAAAACACATTACCCGAGGACTATCATCACGCACATGTGCAGGGCCATGGTATATCATTGTTCAGGATAAAATAACTATTCTGAGAAATTCTGTGGTGGATGCCCGACATGGGGTTAATCTTACGGTGTAATAAACATCAGGAAGAGCGTAAAAATATCTAAGCACGGCTGAATGTGTAAAGCCTTAATAACAAAACGGTCATAAAACATAAGTAAAAAAAAACTCGTTATTTGTAGACCAATGGATTACTGAAAGGGTCAAAATTCGAGACTGATTGCATAATTCAGTGGATTTAGTTAGACATCAAAAACTTGTTTATCTGTTTCATTTCCTATACAAGTTTAGATAAATAGTCTTATGGAATTTCAAACAGAAATTTTAAATCTATTAAAAGAGGGCAAAGATGCTGTAGCTTATATTGAAATATAAACTCTTGAAAAAAGATTTAAGTAGTAAATTAAATTTGCGCTCAAATTAAAAAATTATTTAAAAATAGTTGGAAAAAATTCAACTATGATTAAGAAATTTTAATAATATTTTAAAGTTTAAGAAAAGTCAACTACGAATCTTTGATTATGCAAACAGTAAATATACAACGTAATACATAAAATATTAACTAACAACGAATTATTATGATTATAATCTGCATAATAAAAAAAAAATCTCATAATTTATTGGCTGTGCGTATTATTTTATGTTTTTTAAGTAATTTACACAAAAAGTACAGAATAATTTCTAACAATTAAACTTTTTATTAATATCTGATTTCAATTATAGTCATCACTTAAATATATTAAAACGAAACGGGCATTAAAGTCTTTACATGAACTTTTAAATATTGTTATGCAAACAATTATTTTCACAACAATCTTTCATTCAATATCGTATTTTTAACTATGCTAACTAATACGTATATGAAATATTATTGGTTCATTACTAAATAATTAATACCATAAATCAATTGAGAAATTTTTAATATGGAAATAAATCAAATTCTCAATTGATTACAAATTTGAACCTTTTCTGAACTTGTCATCTTTAGTAAAATGATATGTAAAGGTAATTTTAATCACATGGTTAACTGGTAAAACGTGGTAATTGATATTAATAAAATTAGATATGAAGACATTGGAAATAATTGTAAACATCAGGCAGATTTAGTATGTAAAAACAACGTGTATTAACGATAGTAAAAAAGTCTACTGTGAAATTAATTTACTCAAGTAAAAATTCACTCATGTTTTTAAAATAAAAAACCTAATATTATCCCGCACACATCACTTCAGAATACAATATTTCTAATAGAAAATTACTAAGAGCGTGCTAAGTATAAACTTGATAACTATGTTCATTCTCCAAAGTAACATCGTTGAAAAAAGATGCTGTAATTGCTTAAAAATAAAATTGCAGCAATATAAAAATTACTATGCTTGAGCATATATGTGTCGAATCTAACTGTACACTATAGTGTTTGATGTTTATTGTTTTTCTCGCATTTCAAATAAAAACTAAAAGAAATAGTTGTATGTAATAAATTATTATTATTTTTTATTGCTATTCTTAAGATCCGTTAGACATTAAGATTCCCTTTATTTTTTCTTTCGGCGAAGAACAAGTTTTGGAGTCTGTAAATTTAAGATGATAATTAAAGACAATTCATTCTCTTTCTCAATTAAACTAAGATGTTTCGTTAATATGTCGTCATTTTATACTTGAAGTTCTCTCGAGCTGTAATGTTGCAATTAAGATGCTCAGAAGGGAAAAATATATAAAACAATGCTACTGTTTAGCTGTAAATAAGAAATAATAAATTAATAAAATCTCATCCATTTGCTTCTGCGTGTGGTCGGCGTTCTAATCTATAAGAGTTCATGTCTTCTCGCGTGCTTGCGTACCGTATCTTTGATTCGTTTTTAATAGAGTGATTTAGTGTAAAGAGCGAATTAGAAATAACACCTATTTGTTTGTTCAAAATTAATACCTCATTTGTCATGTAGAAAAAATAATGTGTCCATTGTCATGTGCCGCTGACCTCCTGGGTGCGCATAGACAACAAAGCGTTTGTCTTCGAAAGTATGTCCTTCGTTTATCATTATTTGTGTGTTAGGAGCTGTGTGAACTATAAATTAATAAAAATGAAAACCTATTGTGTTGTCATTTGCAAATGTTATCATGAAAAGACGTTTCAATTATAATAGTTTTGACAAAAAACTATATCAATTGAAATATAAATATGTTTAAATTCATTAAAAGACATAAATAACAGGGTTGTTAGAAAAACAATTGTTATCTCTTTTAAAAATGGCTTCATCTTCTGAGATACAAGCAGTTTTTTTATAAATTTAAAAGCATGAATAAAATAAATACCACTTGTAATATAGGTCATTATTTTGTAAAACTGAAAGTAAAACATTTTTGTAATGTTTGGTTTAATTGTAATTTCTTGATCTATTGTTACTAAATATAATATAGTCTTTTATTTGTAAAGCTAGAAGTAAAATATTTTTGTAATGTTTGGATTAATTGTAATTCCCTAAATTATTGTTCCTAGACCAGGAAGTAAATATTTATAAACATTTTTGAAAATGATTGTATTATGAATTTTGTAAAAAAAAAAGAAAAACAAAATATTTTAGTATATAAGACGAAATGGAATGAATTGAAGGGAGAGAAGACCTCGGGATTACCGAAGGTAATCTCTTTTCGCGTGGTACGTTTGTGACATTAAGTTTTCATTTTGTGTATTATTTATTTATTCTGTTTTAAGTGTACCATTATTTTGTATGTTTTACATTGTTTGAATATTTATTTAATAATTACATTTGCGTTATTATTGAACTACTTTTACTATAAGTAAAAACGAAAAGGTTGTTACGTATTTTAAATACAACACACTGTACAACAATTGTGCCATATTAATGTCAATTAATCCAATTATTATTTGAAAACATTTATAAAATAATTCTTATCTTGGATTAGAAATTCCTAAAAAATTAAGATAACTGAATAATTAATTAAATAATCAAGAAAACAATTTTTAATGCAAAGAACATTAAATTTATCGAGCCTCTTCTATGCAAACGTCTACGCGTATAAATTGCCTACACATTTAGCCCTACTATGACATTTTCGATTTGATTAAAAATCTTGTAAAATTACGACCATAGAAACAAATGATAATTTTAATTAGTATTATCATTTCCAAAGAATTATTTACAGTAATATTATACTATTATTACAATAGAATTCTCTTTTTTTTTGTTTACAAAAAAATTATAGTGTTTATTAGTAAATTAATTGAACAATGGACATCATAAAATTGTTTAAATGTTCTTCTGGTTAAATTAGTATTCTCATTTATGGAGTATTTTTTTATTTTACACGTGCTCATTCACTATTTATATTCGATTTAAAACTATAATTAGGAAGTCATCAAATTCATCCCTAACCCATTAGGAATAATAATGAAGTTCAACATTCGATTTGCTTTATTTAATAAATAAGACAACGTAATAATAATTTAATCTTTTTTCCATTTGTAACTGACAATTGTAAAATACTTTATTTAATAATATCGTGTAGATTAAAATGAGATATTTTCACCACATTACAATAAGAAACACTAAAAAAAATTTAGTAATAAAAAAAAAAATGAACTTTGTAAAAAAACTTTACTTTTATTTAAAAAAGTTTAATTTTCCTTTGAAATTTAGTTTAATTTTTACAAATACTTATTAAATAAAATAACACAAAGTGATTGTGATCCGTTTTACATCCTTCTATTTCCCAAACTTAATATGCTACAGAGGGTTAGTGTAGTTATTATCTAGAGTTAAAGTACCTTGGAAATGATTTTTTTAGTTTTTATAAAACAAAAAAAATGTATTCTTAATGTAAAAACGTAGTTATTAACTGAAGGCTGATTATTCATAAAAGTTACAAAGCTAATAAAATACTTTGTTGAACCATAAAGAGATCTGACGCAGTTACATTGCGTTCCATGATTGACACCGACGTGGAACGTATTATATACTTATAGTACATGCACTTTGACAGCGTGTACAACTAATTGTCCTGCATACTTGTGTTAGTAATATTGTAGACATAAAACTAAATTAAACCGTTGAATGTTTCAGATGACTGAAGTGACGACTAGGAACGTCGATTATAGAACATCTGTCACCGCGTCTTCTTTGAATGACAGCGACAAAAAAGTCTTGTCTGTCAGGCGTTACGAGGCGAAACCTCCGGAAAACTTAGAACTAGTATGATTACTTTTTATTTTACATAATATTAAGTGTTTGTGGTGGATAAGTGTTGTATACATTTTACCCATTAGGAGGCATTATTTTTAACACATACTACCTAATCTTTAAACTCCCTAAAACAGTTTTTTTAGTATTTTCATATTGTAGTTTTTCCTTACATTTGAATAATACTCATACTAATGTGTAATCTTTAAAATCGCGTTTGAAATACTTAATTTGCTTTAATTACAAGAATTTTGCAACGGTATAATTGAAAATACATGTTGAGGTAGCACATTACTGCAATGAAAAATGAGGTCAAGTACCATGACGTTATTGTGGAGCCGTAAACAAGTCAGATCTTATACGCATACTGTCTGGTCATAACTCGAGTAAGATACGAGATAACACAAACGATACAGAGAGCATCGCCGAGTTTAGTTTTTTTAATAGAATGCACAGATAATATCAATTTATATGAGCTTTCTAACGATTGACCAAAGCCGTGCAATTCAGTTACTACTAAACATGTGTAGTAATAATTTAAAATTCCATTATTAGGCCATCGTTTTCACGTCTAATGTCTCGTATAATATACACTCGACCATAATAATACATTATGTGTAAGACTTTGTTAGGCTAGGCATCTAATGATCTAAATTCCAACATTCGAGCCCGCATAAATCGCCCGTATATAATAAGAACAGCAGAGTACCATCGGTACCTCGTTTAACAACCTTTGCTTATAATACTGTTGGGAATAATAGCAGTAAAAGTATTCGCCAGTAATTTTATTCAAAAAATTTCGCTAGTGAAAAAACTTTCAACTGTTTTGAAAACTACTTTAATTCAAAATAATTGCCGTACTTTTCGATGTCGCCCATATTCGGCTGTGTACATTTAATTTATGTATAAGTACAAAGAAATTTCATGAATAATGACAGTAATTACATTTAGAAGAATACTCGTTCAATAAAAATCGTTCTCACATTTTATGTTTCTGCAATAATTTCAAAAATGGAAGTAATCAAACAAATAAACAAACTTCATAGATTTATAGTAAAAAGTGAATGAGCCGTAGAAAGTAGAAGTTCTACAGGCACTATGTAAACTTGTATGCAACGGAACTGTAATGTGTATTGTGGCGGGGGCGGAGGAATCTTTGCTGCATGCAAACCATAGATTAATTTTCAGTTTGTTCGTCCGTCGTCGAAACCTTCGCTCGCGCGTTGGCGGTAAACGTTCTTTAACGTATTTTTACTGTAAATTTTACTTCGGTTAATTCAACATGATACTTTGGGTGTGACAAATTTGAATGATAGATCGGACTTAAATAGATAAAAATCCGAATTTGGAATGGTCGTTATACTTATTGTGCCTCCACCATCATCCCCCGATAGCGGCAATGGCACATATACGCATCGTTGTTCAGCCAAAAGCCCTGGCGGTAGATCCACCACAACAACTTCTATATCTTTTATGTCATCGGACTATGACTCATCTTCCTGTTCATTTTCACAGGTCGATCCGGATAATTTGATAGCTACTACAAAAGAAGGTAAGACATTAACATAATATATATTTCCTTTGCTTATATATAAACTTTTGTTGTTTTCCATGTACATGTATTTCCTCAGAAATTAGACGAAAGGGTTGTTTTAATAACTATGAAATAGTTTAAATTAATTGATTTAAACTATCTCATAGTTATTTAAACAGAAACAAATTGTTTGATGAGATCTCATGGGTGTTTTAAAAAACGTACAATTAACCAATTATGAATGGCAATAATTGATCTTAATCTTTAGGGACGATATACAATATCACTATGTGTAATAATTTAGGAAGCAATTCAAAAAATATTAGAATATGAGGCATTTGAATTTTTTTATAATTTGAGACTTGAATTATAATATAAACCATGCCTTAAAATACACTAAATTAATACATAGTCATCTTTTATTTATAGTTAAAATGGACTTAAGTTGGTATTGCACTACAATGGTTATTTTTAAACGAGCTGTCTATAAAAAGTTTCTCTATAAACCTCTATTTATAATCAATTTTGATTTAAAATTTATAATTGTTTACTGGTGCATATTGGTAAAAAAACTTAAGTTTTAATATTATTAATTGATTTGTGAAATCTCAAATTTTATCCTTTTTCCATTTCAGTTTTTTCGTATACTTATAGGACAAAAAATTAGTAATTTAACTTGTTATACTATTTCTAGTATTAAAATTATTTCCTAATAAATACAATTTTTTTATTATTAATAGTTAAAATTTTCGATTATCGGTGACATAACTAAGCAATGCATAATTACGAATTCTAAAATATTTTAAAATCAATGAAGATAGTTAATTGTTCTACTTATATAATTTGTTAAAGTTATATTTTTTTTTACCAAATTATTATACTTAAAAAATACATTTTCCACTATGTGTAAATGTATGAAAGTTATTTTTCGTTAGTTTCTTGAAATGTTTCAAACAATTATATTAATTATAAATATAATAGAAAAAATTCAGGTTAATAATTAAAAATATGATAAATTATTCTCTAAGCTAAATAGACTTCCTACAAATAAATAGAGAATCCTTGTTTTTAATAAATAATTGTGTGATTAATTATATTTAAGTTTGACCAATTATACTTTTTATATCATAAATAATTTTATATTCTAAGATATTATAAAGAAAAATGTTTGATTCGATTTTTTGTTTATGGAGCTGAAAAATGATGCGGGAAACGATTATAAGACTGTCCGTTAAATTTATTTTTTAATTTATATAATTTAAAAACATAATTCAAATTAAAAGATAAAATGCGCAACTGTTAGCTCATTATCCTAGCCGGTACTCTCGTCAATACTTCAAGAAGACTATTGGACTTAGAATATATAAGTCCAATAAGTATATAATTAACAATGACACATCGTTACCCGTCACATGATTATCGTAAAATGTCAATAAATCTAAATCTTGTTGCTTATATTGGATTGTTAGCTTGCAAAAAAAACTGATAAATAATATTTAAAAAGATGCAAATTTGCATATAATTATGAATGGAAGAAATATTGACACTCATGGTTTATTGGACGATTGAGTATGCAAGAGCAAAAGAAATAAAAAAAATATTAAGCGATTCGGCTTCTGAATATTTTATGTAATCTTACTGATAAATTCCTTTTTTGGAAGATGGCGAGCGTTGGACTGACGTAAACGCAACCCTATAGTTGCACGACTGTCGACTTAGAAATGCGTTTCACGTATGCGAATTCCATTCTATTATAATATGTTGGCCTCTGTATTGATAAACGATTTTCTAAATAATGAAGATGATGATGATAATTATGTTGTTTGCACATCCACGACATGAGTTGAATAATAATAGATTCAAAAATAAGAGAAACACATACACGTTTCCAAGTTCATCGCTGGTAGCTTCGTGTGCGATTATTTTACGAACGTTATGACCATTTTTATGGATATGTTAATTTACCTTAACGATTATTAGTCATTGCCTATTGGTATTTCTTGTACACACAATAGAATTGGCAACCTTACGTCAAAAATAGCACGACGACACAAAAGTACAGAACAGTATAATCAATTTAATAGATACTTTGAAGATTTGTTGTTATTTATGCAAATTTAAAATCTCTGTATGCTTCAGGTAATATACTAAAACCCGCTCAATAATACTCTCTGGGGAAAATATCTTCAATCTATTTAAACATTATTTATAGTTGTATAATTTTAATTTTGGTTAACTAACAAAAGCTCATAAATTGATTTCTCTGGATGTAAGAGCTTATCAGGTTGCTAATTATAAGGTTTTTTTTAAGCTATACTAGCTATTTAAAACGACTAGTTTAATAAAAACTCTATGTAATTGTGAGTCTTGATACAACTGAAGAAGAAACCGGAAATTTGTTTAAAACTTTAGATTATAAATGATAATTAAGTGAAATTTTTATGATGGCGTTCATTATAAATAAATCGATGTAATTTATACACTATAATTACTGTTTTACACGAAAGTAGAAAAATTTACAAGACATTATTGCAAATAAAAAAATGTTAATTTAATAAATATTTAAACACATTTCAAATTAAATAAATGTAGAATTTGAAAATGCAGTTATTAAGTATAAAATAGTGAAGATTTGTAAAACATAATTTTGAATTTATGTTATAATGATTTATTTTAAATACATTAATTGATTTTACGGTATATTTTTTCAAAAACAGTAAATTTTTATTTATTTTGAAGTTGCCAAACTTAATGAAAATACAATATATAAAAATATAATCGCAATATTTTTTAAAATAAATTTGGAATAAAGTTAATTGTGCTGAAAATTAGTTGAAAATATTTAATAAAGTCATGAGTTGTGGTAGAACATGACCTATATATTATTTACACTTATTGCACTTTGTTTGAAAAAAAAAACAGTGAACAATAAGTTTTTAATCTAGAAAATAAAGAAAAAAATATTATTGTTAACGTTTAATGATGACGACCGTTAAAAAACAAATAGTTTGTAAATAAATGTATGATAGAATTTAAAATAGGTGTTAAATTTTATGAATTTATCACCGTTAAATAGCCATTTCTAAAGCATTTGAACAATAATAAGAGCTCAGTTAGTAGTTTTGAGAACTCGTAAGATTTAATACAAATCGTATTTTGAAGATCTGGAAATTCAGAGTAAATTTATACACTTCAGAAGTTAATTTTTTATTATTTGTTTTCATGAGTAGTTACTTAAAATGTATGTTTGATGAGGTATACTAATCACATGTATTCTTGTAACAATTAGTATTTGCGTGTAAATTATTTCTCTAAGAACGACAAAAACATTAAAACGTCATGACATTCGATGTAGTGTTTTTTTTTGTGCATTAGCTAATTAATATTCGTGACGTATCTGAAACACAATGGATGGATTGAAATCAGTTTTGTTTTGCAATTATTGCGTTTTCGTTGCATGTAGTGAAGATTGACAAATGAGTACTGATGTTAAAAAAGCATTACAAAATCTAAAAAAGTACTGTTGGAAGATATTTCTAAAGGAATAGATATTATCATTAAACTAATGTGGTAACTTTTTGTAACAAAGAATGTATTTTAATTTTGTGACAATTTTCTATACATGTATGTTTAATGAGAAATCTCAGGATAAAATTGGTTTAATAATGAAACTATTATTATTTGTTTAGTTCCCAATAATACATGATTATTAAAAAGTAACAAAAAAATGTATTATAATTTCTATCTTTGCATTTTTAAATGAATTTTCATAATAATAAGTAATAAGGTATACAATAGTTTTTATATTTTTTTGAAATTGTTATGCTAAAAATTACTGATTATTTATTAAACAATTGTTATTCTTCTGTTAATTCTCAAGAAAGCTATAATTAATCCTCTTGAACTACAAAATAGTAATTTTGTGCTATCAACTTTTTCTATATGTCTTTAAAAGTGATATTTGTTGTCTTTTTTTTTTTTTGACCACTTAAAATTATTTATCATAGATTTTTAATGCGGTAAACCCCAAATCTTACATACGCATATGTTTGTTATGTTAGTGTGTCTCGATATTGTTATATAAAATTATTTAGACTTTTTACAACGTAATTTTAGCATTTTAGTAATTTTAGCAATTTTACCCTCCTCGTTTAGTATAGCCTCATGTGAGATCCCGGTTCTAAAATTGTTTGAAGAACTGCAACGAAATACGGGCACTACTTACGGTCCTGACCTTGTCCCTGGTATCATTTTTAGTTCTTGTCGTTATCCGCTTACTCGTCCAATCCATTTTTTGTTTTCCTTGTCATTGTCTTCGGGTGTTTTTCCAGTACGATGGAAATCAAGTTATATTACACCTATTTTTAAATCAGGTGACAAATCTGATGTGGGTAATTATAGACCTATTTCTAAATTAAGTGTGTTGCCGAAAATATTTGAGAAACTTCTAGAGCCCGAGTTATCATTAAGTTTTAAAAACGTGCTGAATAACTGCCAGCACGGCTTTCGTAGTTCTAAATCAACTATTACTAACCTGCTTGTGTTTTATACTAATATTGTTTCCACTGTTGCAAATGGTGGTCGAGTAGATGCAATTTATACTGATATGAAAAAAGCGTTTGATACATTAAATCACAAGGTATTAATTGATAAATTAAAACATATTGGCATTAAAGACCCACTACTTAAATGGTTAGCTTCATACCTCACAGGCAGACAGCAGCAAGTAAAGATAAATAATATTATCTCTTCCATTATCCATATCCCCTCTGGGGTTCCTCAAGGAGGGCATTTATCTCCATTACTTTTCTTAATTTTCATGAACGATCTTTCTGATGTCTTTCAACATTCAAGCTATTTGTGTTTTGCCGATGATGTAAAAATTTATTCTAACATTCGTACAATTCACGACAGTCATAATCTCCAAGCAGACTTGTGCAGATTTTATAATTGGTGTGTTGTTAATGGTTTATGCTTGAATGTGTCTAAATGTGCTCAGATCACTTTTTGTCGTAAGCGTTCATATGAACTATATGCATATAATATAAATAGTATTAATATCATAAATGTTCCTCATATCAAAGACTTAGGTGTAATTCTTTCTTCGGATTTATCTTTTACTGAACACATTTCATTTATTTATAATAAAGCACTACGGATGTTGGGCTTTCTTAAGCGAAATTGCTGGGAGTTTTCTAATCCTATTTGTTTAAAAGTTTTATATTGTTCTTTAGTGCGTTCTATAGTCGAATATGGGTCAATTATTTGGTCACCATATCAAGCTAATCTTACTAATAAACTGGAAAAATTGCAAAAACGTTTTCTACGTATGTTAGTAGTAAAAGTAGGAAAATACGATATTAATGAAGTTGATTTAAATGTAGTAGCTTCAGATATTGGTCTAACCAGTCTGAGTATGAGGCGGAAAATGTTTGACGTTAGTTGGATCCATAGTTTATTAAATAATAAAATTGACTGTCCAGAAATTCTTGATATTATTCCTTTTAATGTTCCTTCAGTCCATTTACGGTCTCAAACGATGTTTTATGTTTCTTCTGTCCAACAGAACTATAATCTTTTTGCTCCGGTCAATCGTATGTTATTAGAATGTAATGAAGNATAATTATTCATTTTAGTATCCCAATTAACGGTATAATTATTTAATTTGTAAAAAATATTATTTAAATATCTACTGAAGTTTGTTGCCGAATCAATTTTTTTTCCTTTCGATTAATATTATCAAACCAATAACAAAATTCAACCCATCATGCATGCATTAAAAAATAATAATTCATGTAAATATGGTACTCGATAATAAATACATTTATTCAGACATTCGATTTACTTAAGTGACCGATATAGAAAATCACGATTCATCGCTACAGTAAACAATACAATTTTGAATTATGATTTCTTAAATCATTTATTACTCAATAAACAAACTAAAGATAATTTTTTATTATTAATTACTGCGCTATAGTCGCATTAGCTTAATAGCATATATTGTGTTATAATTATCTAACATGAATTAAAGTTTTTACTAATAATATTGTATTTTCAGTAGAATTTTTTAAATAGATATATTTCTGATGTAAACAAACTATTAGTAACAAACTTATATAAAATCTTTACGTGCTGTCATGACAACTTTATTTTTACCCATTTCATATTTTTTTCAACGTACTATGACCTTCCGTGAGTTAGATTCATACGTTAGAATAATTATAACTATGTGTATGTACGTCTATGATACTATTACTCTTTACAGTAATAATAATATCAAATTAGCATATTCTTATTACCTCATCGAACTTATGCGGAAACATCTCATACTGATGTACTTGCATATTTTTTAAACTGCATTATGTACTTTCTCTGCAAGTCATTGTTTAGCTGTTATGATTTTTTAAGATTTCATTGAAGTCTAATATGTTCGAAGTTATTCAACAATCATAAATAATAAACTTAAAAACGTGTGAATTTTTTACTCGCATTATGTAAACAATTATTATGTGTTAAAATGTTTATTCTTGTTACTAACAAACAAACCCATTTATTGTTCTTTTAATAAAAGAACTTTATTTGGCGTTTTATTGCTGAAATTTGTTTTAAAAATTTATCGCAGTCACAGTTTATATTAACGATGATTAAGAACAATGTATATAAACGACAATAAATAATAACATCGAAGTAGACTGCGGTAATTGTTAGTATCTCTGTGTTTTGATTGATTGTCATTTACCAAAAAATATACCGAATGCGCCGTTGAGCTCTTAAAATATTTTCTCGTATGAACGCTCATTAATAAAATTTCATAACTGCCAGTTGACAGTTTAATAGGGTCCCCGATGTATGCGTGTGTTTGTGTGGACACATTTTGCACCACGTTTCTAAACCAGAAGTTAGAAATGTGCAAATGTAATTTGCCAAAGAAAGTGCCGGGCTAGCCCAGTTAACCGCATGCATATTACAGAGCCATAGGAACGCGTGGGCAATTGTAAATGTCTCTCCGTTTCCTTGTCACTGTCATGTATGTGCGATAAGAACAAAAAACCATTTCCTTTAAATACGGTTTTCCTTCCTCTCGTATTTAATTTTTATGAATTTCTCTAACGTTGCAGAAGAGTGGGTGACTAAAAAAAAAACCGAACTGACCACAAAAAAGCAAATCGAAACCCGAGTAAAAAGACAAGTAGTGTTGGAAGACGGTAAAGTAGTCGAAGACTCAGGGCCGATCGTAACGACCAACACGACCGAGGACACCGAAAAACAGGAACATCAACAGACTGAGGTAATTTTTGTTTAACGTTGCAATTAGCGACAAGTAGTCATAAAAAAAATTATATTCTACAGGGTTTTAGATATGTAATTAAAATGTGCACAGTATTGACTTTATAAAGGAGCTACATTTCTAATTTCAATGTTTACGATGACAAATTTTTTATTAGGTACAAAAATTCTCAGTTAAATAAAACTTTTTTAGTCGTTGAATTTTTAAAATGGGAAACTATTTTTATTACTGGGATAAATACTTAGTTATGATAATTTTACTTATTTATTGGACGTTTAAAATCTTATTCATAAAGTAGTAAACTGACTGCACATAATGTATTTGAATTTTGAATTTATTAAAGTGATTTCAACTAAATTGAGACAGACATTTTATGGTTGAAAGTCACTTTTGAGCTCAACAATATAGTATACGCACTTAACCCGTCATTTTCGTTGACACGTGCCAAACTACAAAAACATCATATCTAATCCGAATTGACGTGCCGTGGTCTCATCAGCTATTCTTTTGAATGAAGGCGGCTCACGACCGCTGTCTATTAATTGTATCTTCGGGCATTGCGCAAAATAATTACTGTGTTTCGTTACCGTGTAAATATCTAATGAGAATATTATTATGATTGGTCTCTCTCTTTATCGCGAACATCACAAATGATGTAGACCGCCGGCACAATTGGATCAAAGAGCAGAATAATAATACAGTTGTTTTGTGTATATCAAATGAATAATAGATATTATGATTAGATGTATACATTGTACTAAATTTTGTTTAGTGCTTCAGTGCCTATAACTCTTTTTAATAGGTGATCTATTTATTTTTATAAAAAAATAAAAACAATTGTCGATGTTTAAATGAGTCAAATTTTTTCTTTTTCGCATGTATAATAGTCATTGGAATTATTTTTGTTATAACTAATGACCACCTAACTCTTCTATTATATTCTTCTTATATTATCTTAACTCTTCTATATTATTATTTATTTATTGTTTTACTGCATTCAATGGAAAACAAACTATTAATTTATAGAATCTAAAATTATGTATTTTTATTTATTTTTTATAATGAGATACATATTGTAGCCTATTAATTAAAGATTATTCAACTTTCTTAATAATCCGTATTAGTTTATTGTAATAATATTTATAAAATCGATAATTATGTTAGTAAATTTATTAGAAGTAATACCTCAAACTTGTTTAGCACCGTCAAATTGGAGACAAAGGGGATGGCGAAAATACCAAAGAAGTAGTGGTGAGATCATCGTCACTTGAAGGAAATCCATCTTTGCTAAAAGAAGTGCGGGAGAAGAAAATTAAAAGTCGGGAAGAAAAAGAAGAAGTAGTCGAAACAGAAGATGTGGTACATCTCGGAAACATTAGTGACAAGGTACGTTTTTTTAAAATTATGAATATTTCTACCGTTATAGCTACTGTAGGCTAGTACCTTGTTCGTATATTTGTTATATTTGTACAAAAGCCAAATAATTTGTTTTGTGTCCCGTGACAATATTAAACGATTATGCTTTTATAATATTACAAAATTGCTAGATTTTTAGATTATATGCGCGTGACAATGGCCACGTATACGTCGTGCTCTAAATATCATAGAGATGTCATTAATACTTCTGTCACATATGTCATTTGCATGTTGCACAATTTAAGTTAGCAAACACCTTAATTTAGTAATTATTCAACGTAATATAAACGTGAATCAGCTATGAGTTGGTTGTTAGCAACGTTTGTTAATACTTAAGAATTTTATCAAACAAATTTAGGTTTAAAAAGGATTTACTTGAGTTTGTCTAGTATCTAATTTGATGTTTTATAAACACGTACAAGTTTTTTGTTGAATATTTTTCAACAATATTTTCAAGTAGTATAGTGAAATATATATTTTTTAACTAAGTCAGCTTTTATTTTAAAATTTACTATTATATTTTTCATATAAATAACATTATAACAAAATTAATAGGTTGTATTGGATGTATTTAAATGTTTTATTTCAAGTATATTAAAATAGTTATACTCCATTTTTGGTTCTAATTAATCCTTCAGGCTTGAACGAAAAATGCGTGAATACTTCCGTCATTTTTAAACGGCGTGCTGAGCGTTATAGTTATACATATAATTCTGTTTTATCTATTATCATTTCACGTAACTGTTGTTGAAGTATTGTAAATTATATCTGTACCGTGCAGTAAAATATGAATATAATTTAGTCCGACATTAAGGTGACGACGCCCCTGTAGTTAAAACAATAACATTTAAATTTACGTCGTAAAATTATACCGGTTAATTTATCTGAGATTTTTCTCTCAGCCGTATCTTATTACTAATAAACTAGAACTTCTGCTGTGATTGTATCGTATATTTCTTCACTTTGGGCTTATAAGATCGCCAGCGGCCGTAGTCCTCGAGCAGCGATCATATTGTATGCATTTACTTTTGTTCAGTTGGCTGTGTTCACAATATTGTAACGAAAAAATAAGACCGGTTTTCGATACCGTTTTTTAGCATCATGCCGGTATTTTACGAGGTAGGCACACCAACACACAGAGTCCGGTCTGTTGCAAGAATAAATCTTTATATAGGCTCCCCGAAGACTTAGCTGTTCTCATTCTATTTTTCATGTTCTATGGATAACCTGCTGCGTTGAGATACGCGTATAACTTTTGCCAACATGGAATTTGCTTGTACGCCGATTGCTGTACAAATATTTTGCAGATTTTAATTGTTTTATTATCTTTATTTTTTTGTTAGTATCAGATTGACTGCGTGTTAATGAAGTATTTTGTATCACGTTGGATGACAAGAAATTGACGTCGGTTCACTAATACAAAGAAGTTTTCTTAGACATATATTTAATAATAATCTAATCCTAGAAAAGTAAAATAATTTTAGCACTTTCTTTTGGGATTGATTGTACATAGTTGATAAGATACAAACAACGAGTATCTTCTACTCAAAACTAATCCAATCTGAACACGCGAAGACTATAGGAAATGTTCTAAAATAAATTGTAACAGTCAAAATGATAGGATGACCTCCTCAATTTCACTTGCCCCTGATTGGTAAAAAATGTAAACAAACAAAGTTATTATGAGTAAACGAGAAAATATACGGTCATACTTGTGCTTATTATAATATGATTGTTGTGGGATCTATGTTCAGTATTGTGATATCGTTATGTTCTGTCTATTCACCTGCTGTTTTCTACCGGCGGCGTTCACGACTTTCGACTTGCACAAAATTGGAATTCTTGTTTACATAGTAAATTAAACGCTTCGTGCGTTTTTTTTTTTATTTAATACAAAAACTAATAATAAGACACATATAATGTTTTACGTACAAAGTGATAACCGGTTTTTTTATGTTTAATTTTGTATTACGAGTAGCAAACGTTTTAGTGATATATACTACAAATGTAATTGTCCATCAAACAAAAAAACAAATGTAATGATAATAATAACAGTCGAGTGTCGCTAAAATTTAGTCACGCCCGCTGTGGTACTTGGTAGTTCTCTTGTATTAATGAAATGCTTTTTCCCATAGTTTATTTTTTCATTTATTTCTGCGTTGCTTTCCAAGGTGAGCTACTGCATTTGATATTCACGCGTTTTATTGCTCTTCGTCCGACACTTATAGTAATATAAATTTATAAGCGTTAGGCCGGACACTCGAAGTATACTATACAACTCACACTACATTGCTTGAATCACGAATTTCCATGTCAACTAAAAGCTCTTTCTCGTGTTACACCATTATGCCTTGAATATTAATAGATGGTATTATAAAAGATTATAAACAAAATATGTTTTAAATTTAAGAGAAAAATTAGAAAATAAAAATTACTCAATAAATGAGTGACTGTCTAATCCGCATGGATGTATAAGAACAGTATTATTGTTATTCGCATAATTTATATTCTATAAAGAAATTTATTTATTTTTTTCTTAAGGTTATTAGGATTTCTATTTACTACGTTTTCTACAAAAAACCGAAAGATTGATTTGTAACTTTCCTATATCAAAGATTAAAATAGTTTTACTTATAATCTTCTAAACCATGATAATTTGTTCATTCATATTTTATAAGAGCTTTAAACAAATTAAATTTAAGGACTCGTACTATTCAAATATTTCATTGGTGTCGTCACTTTTTTTGTTTGGTTTTCTATAATTTGTTTGGAGATGTCTTCTACCGCACGTCAACAATTTTAATTCAATTTTACCAATAAAATTAAATTTTTGAACTTCAACAATGTTGACTTTTGAGATTGAAAATCAAATATCATGTTTTTACGACACCTCTTAATTTTTTTTTAATACTCATAAAAATGAGTTTGCAAAATTTGTAACCGATCCGTCAAGTTTAACCCATGCCCTCATACTTTTTAAGTTGATAAGGAAATTTTAATAGAAATAACTAAACTATGTCTCACAATTTATTTTTTTATTTAAAAATATGAAAATAAAACTAACGTGAAGGAAATTTTACAAAAAATTAAAAATAATAACGTCATTGTTGTTTTTCTTAATAAATAGCTCACAAAATTACTGTATACAGTAAAAACACGTATAAGTCTTAAAAATACGTTACAACTGATTTTATTTATTTTAGTTTTATACTTCTGAAAACGATTATTTGGTTAAAAAAAAATTCTAAAAAATTAATTTCTTATGTCATGTACAGTAATTATACTTTTTTTTATCATGACCAGTTAATTATCTATTAACTACAAATCTCACTAAATTTCCTGTGTTATTACATTTTTTAGATAGAAAAATTAATTTATATTTTGATTATCAGTTATGGTTTTTGATTAATAATTTAATAACACTAAATTATATCTGTTTAAATTATTATTCATTAGAATGAAAATCTAATAATTAACTAAACTCTAAAAAGAAATATATTGATTATTTGAACATTTTTTTTTTTTTAATGTTTGATAATGTTATAAAAAAATGTCTTTATTAAACCTACATTCTAAATCCAATTATTTCGTTAGATTCAAGAGTTTTTTTTTCATCTTGAAGTACATTGTATTATCTTTAATTTGATATAGGTTAATTAAAGACAGTTTTTAAAAACATTCAACAATTTTAAAGAAAGAATTTTGAATGTGATGAGAATGTTTTCCCTCGGTAGTTTTTTTAGTTAATGATTAGATTTTTAATAATAAAAGAGATTTCAAATATATACAATTTAATGTTAATCAAGTATTAAAGCTATAACGGATTTGTCCCAACTTTTTCACTGCTTAATTTTCTAAGCATTATAAAAATTAATGGGCAACGTAAAAAAATGACATTCGATTTTTAGAAACCTAATAGATAACATTGCAATTTTAGCCACAGATGATAAAATTAAAGCATTATTAAAAAAATTATATTTAAAGTAGTATATTGTAAAAATAATACATTTTATTTTATTAACAAATTTATTTTATTACAAATGTAAATGACATAAAAATTTTGTAATTTATATTGTAGAGAATATTTCGAATATGTTTCGGTTATGATAACTTGTTATAAACTTATCTTAAATGGTTTAAAATAATGTAAATAAAAATATCTCCTTGAAAGTATTTTCACTATACATTATTTTATCATCCAGATAGTTCCATCAAATATTATTAATATATATTTAAATTAATTTAATATATATGCCATATAGCAGGCATAGCATGTCGATAAAATTTTTTAATTTATTTTGAGGAAATAGAAAATATAATTTTTTTTTATAGATTTTCTAGAAATGACGACGAATAATTAAAATAATAATAATGATAAATAATTAGATTATTTAACTACATAGAATTTTAACTATTGAGTCAATTATTAAAAACTAAATGATCTTTATAGTTTTAGATATTTATGATTACTAATCTTAAATTAAATTTTTAAAAATGTAGAATCTTTTCTACATGAAATGTGAAACATTTCAATAATAAATATAATTTTATATACATACAATTTTTGTAACTTAAAATAAATAATCTAAAAAATATTACCCAGTCATCAAAAGATATTTAATTAATTTGTTTTTAATTTTACTGTGAGCAAAAAGTGATTATTTAAATAATCTTCAACTTAATATTTCATAATACATTACACATAACTCGAAAAACATAAAATATAACTTGAATNAATATTTCATAATACATTACACATAACTCGAAAAACATAAAATATAACTTGAATATAATGACAAATACCAAAATGAATTCATTATCAACTCCTAGAGGAAACGCTCTATCAATTATAGTAATATAATGAATAAATTTAATTATTATACAAATACTTTTCCTGAATTTACAAAAATACTTTATCATTTTTCATCTTTTGGGGAAAATATCATACAGTAATATACATTTAATGAAAT